CACATTTATATACCATCGGACTCTGTTACTTTTGCGAGTCGCGAAAGCACTCGCGACTCGCGACCTATCTCGCGATCTCATGTCACGACTCGCGACGAAATATCGCGATTTGCCTGCTTTTTTTTTCAAAAAAAAAAAAAGAAACAAAGTGCCACGACCTGAGGTCGCGACTCGCGATTTAATAGTCGCGACTTACCTGCTACTTATTGGACTAAAATCGTGATTTTATTTTGCAGGACTTCATTCTCTCTCGCGACAGACAAAGCACACAAACCGCGACCCTCTCTCTGGCTCAAATCGCTCTCCCACCTCCGTCCATTCCGCCGCTCCGACCACCGCCGACCTCACCGGCGAACTCGCTCGCCGCAACCCTCTCCTCACCATCTTACGGAACCACTCTCTCTCGCGCGCTCGTACATACTCGCGACCACAAACCCTTGGTCGATCTTTTCGACCACCGCGCGTCTCCGGCGCTCCTCCATCTCTGACCAACGACTCCATCCACCAGCGACCGTCAACTTCGACGACCAGTTCCTTGCCCGTGACCACTGCTTCTGCTCAGTGACACCGTGTTCCAAACGGTCATCTTCTTCAAGCTTCAACATCACCGTTCACAGCATCTTCGAGTTTCGGCGCCCGGTAATTGAATTTCTTGCTCTTTCCGGAAGCTATTGAATTGATTGAGTTGGTGTTGAAGGATTCCATTGCCAGTGGAGTCGATTTTGGGCTAGTTCATCTCTGTTTTTCACATAAACTTCAAGTTCAAGCTCTTGCTTTCCAAGTGTTTGATAAATTGCCCGAGTGAACTTTTTATTGAAGATGGTTACTAAACGCACAAAACGGAAGTCTACGCAAGGAGAGTCGTCTTCCCAAGCCGAGTCGGTCGATCTACGGGCACAGTACGATGCCCCCTTCACCATCCTTGACGAACCAGAGGGGGAAATCTACTCCCAGCTCGCGCAGAAAGAGGTTCTGAAGTCTGAGACATTCGACTTCACGTTGCTTACGGACCTCGGCATGTTGGAGACAGTCGAGCATTGCTACATATGAGGAGATATGCCGACGTCTTCCACCCGACTTACCAGAACCTTACGCTCGAGTTCTTTAGTACACTTGAGTTCTAACGGGAAGCTGACAGATACGACACTATGATTTGTCTTTTGCTTAGGGACCCGGCGAGTCATAGGCGACGCCACCTTTGAGAGTGTTTTGGGACTTTCGAGTGGCGGCTACTCGGTGGTTTTTGGCAAGGTTCCTGCTCAGTTTTGGACCGACCTCTCTCCCGAAACTGTGTGGGATTCTCAGGGCATGCTCAACAGCCTCATCGAGCACGGTGCGATTGCCGTTATGCACAAGTTTTTGACTAGGCCCATCGTCCATCTTGACCCATCTCCAAAAACTTCCAATCTGACCAAGCCCGTTGTTCAACTCAAGCCCACCTACGCTTCTTCTTCCCCCCGCCACCAATTGGGACAGCACACCTTAGCGGTAAAACACCCCCCGATGGCGACTACCTCCGAGCTTCTGTCTCTGGAACGAATTCTCCCCAGCGCCAGCGCCGGTGCCAGCCAACCCCATTCGGAAATAGAATCCCTCTCGATGAACCCCCTAGCATCGGGCCCACTTCATGGAGGGTCGTCTGTCACCTTTCCGGATATGGCCCACATGGCAGGCCAAATATGTAATAACCCAACTTCTTCTTAATAGAAATGATGTATTATCTTTACTGATTCCATTCATTTTCAGCAAATAAGTTCGACGATAAGTCGAAAAGTTTATCCGGTTAATTATTAACCGAGTCAAATTTGATAATTAATTTCCGAACCGTTTATTTTATAAACGGGCATTTATAATCGGGATTAATTATTGACAGCTAAGTATGTTCGGATTTAAGTTTAAGGTTAAAAACCAAATTAAGTCATGAGCGAGCACAAGGTACGTCATGCGCATACATGTACGCGCACATTGCATGTAACCGTACGCGAAGCCGTGCACGCGAACGCGCACAGCGCGCATCGCCGCGCATCGTGCACTAGCGCACGCCATGAAGCCCCTTAAACACACACGCTTATATCACTAAGTACCATGATTAGCTACAGCAAGTTCCAAATCTCTTTCTTCAAAGTTGCCGTCCAAGATAAGTTTGGGTGTGCAAGTGGGGTGGTGAGTCACCTCCTTGCTTGCACACACGACACACCACGAACGCACGGGCGATGACTAAGCCCGTGCATGCCCGACACCTCGGCAATTACTAGGCTTTAAACGCCACACTTCAGCACCTGACCGAGACACATGTCAACAAGAGAAGAATGCGTCATCAACCACCCCTTTGACCCCATTTTCACCAACGGATTTTACCATGATAAATAACCGAGCGTGGACCTTGTTTCCATGCAATTCCATGCATCAAACCGAGCCTAACTTCAGCAAGAAATAGAGAGAAAATAGTAAGGAAAATATTGTAGAAAAATAGTACAAAAATAGCTAAGGAAGGCGAAAGCACAAGGGAAGTACGTACGCACGCGTTTGAGCTTAACATATGCACGCACATCACCGTGCATTCCACGTCCAAACTGAAGGGTACATTCTTGTTTATCCTCTCTTTATGTATTTCAGTTCATTATAAGAAGATCATGTCGAAATCTCGTTGTTCGGTTCGAGTTTTATATGAAAATGCTCTCGGAGATGCCATGTAAGCTCCCTCCGAGTAACTTCAATTTTTAACCGGCAAGTCCCAAACACTATATGTATATTTAAGTAATTTAAGTCAAATCTTGTCCAGTCATAAGTGAATTGCCGGAAAAAGTAGCCGGACGGCCGGCAAAACGCCGACCGTGATGCCTACCGCACGCGGAGTGCGCGCAGGCACGCCCGGCAAGCCCAGCGAGTGCACAGGCAGCGTCCGCGCGCCCAGTAACACGCACGCGTGCCCGGTACTCGGCAGTCAGGCCCCAGTCATACGCCTAGACGTGCAAGGTGCGCGTCAAACACACCAGTCGCGTACACCGCAGCGCATCACATGCCCAGCCGCGTGTCCTGCGACGCCGGTACGCACGCCAGCAGCGTCCAACGCACACTGGCCAACAGTCACGCACGCCAGCACGCCCAGCAGCGTGCCAGCGGTGTCCAGCGAGCCTCGGCGATGCCCGGCAGCACGCCCGAGTGCTCCGTCATTCTAGTACGCGTA